AACGCAGAGAAACTTGTCAAGGAGATGTGAAGCTGTTTCGAACTAATATAACTACAAACGACGCATGCGCAACGCCAATCATTTTCTATAATGTGCGATTTAAGCGCCGTGCATTGATGAAATCACGAAACATTTCGCGCGTATATTTGAATTGAAATAATACAAACATTACATTACATCATATTAAAATGTAATCTAATCTAGCCACACGAGGTATTGGTGTATAATATATCATTTTTATCTTTTGCAGAGTTTCGACAATGGCGTACTGTAGCGAGTCGTGTAAATTTTGCATCGCATAGGTTTCCGTTTTTCAAAACGTTCGCTAAGCAATTAACGACAAATTTACTTTCATGCGCTTATTATTGCGCTAATTACAAAATGCTATATTTATTAATATTCTCAGAAAATAATACTTTCAAAGACAAAAATATACAAGTAAAAACGCGAAAAAAGAACAAACTCATTTAATATGTCGGTGTGGTGCATAGCGCGTGCGTGAGTTGAATTGCGTCTGTCATCGCGACGCAGCAACGGCGCAGCAAGGCGCGCGACGATATTTATGAGGTGTGACAGTTTGTGATCGCGCAAAATTGACATATTAGTCAAACGAGAGAGATTGTGTAACAGCATGGACAAGCCGCCGTATAAACTGAGCAGCGTGCTGCTTGGCCACAGCGCGGACGTGAGAGCAGTGGCAACCTTTCTCGATGGTACCATCGTGTCGGTCTCCCGGGACAAGACAACGCGTGTATGGAAGCCGTCCGGGTTAGTACAGTCGAAGCATACGTAGCTCTCGCACATAAAAATCCATAGCATTTATTTTTTCTTAATCTATTTTCGCAATATCTTTGATTTTTTTAACTTGAGTGCACGATTTATTACTATATATTACGAAATACATCTTTTTTTGTATATGTGTGAGGTTAGAAATTTATTTGAATGCTATCAAGTAAACGATTATAGTATGATATGATGTAAGCTCTGCCTTTTTTTAGTCTGTTTTTGCACCATCATCGATTTTCTTCAACTTTACTACATAATTTATTATTATATTTCTGTATTATTATTCAAGATTTACATAGATTTTGCTTTAAGAATTGTATAATAAATGTGTTATTATATTCTTATAACGCTGTAAAAGTGCCTAAAATTTTGCAGGAATGGTAACGAGTATGAACAGAGCGCAATATTAACAGGCCACTCTAATTTTGTTAGTTCAGTGTGCGTTTTAAACCCATCGGAGAGAAATCCCAAAGGTTATATCATCACTGGCAGCAATGACAATACCATATGTGTCTATATAGCAGATGAAACAGTACCTGTGCACACAATAACGGCACATCAGAATACTGTGTGTAATTTAAGGACTGGCAAGAAAGAAGGTACATTTCTTTCGAGTTCTTGGGACCTTACTGCTAAATTATGGGATGTAAATGATTTGAGCAAACCACAACTGAATCTCATGGATCATACTGCTGCAGTATGGTGCGTGGCAGATTTATCGAATGGAAATATAGTAACTGGATCAGCTGATAAGTTGGTAATAGTATGGACGAGAGATGGTTCTATGCAACATAAATTAACTGGACATACAGATTGTATTCGTGATATAGCTGATATTAAAGAGGATGAGTTTCTAACTTGTGCAAATGATGCCACTATAAGACACTGGAATGCCAGACTTGGAACCTGTTTAGGTACATATTGTGGACACGAGAATTATATTTATAGTATAGCAGCTGTTCCAAATGGCACATATGTCTTTTCATCTGGAGAAGATAGGACTATCAGAGTATGGTATAATGCAGAACTTGGTCAAACCATTGTTTTACCAACACAATCGATATGGTGTGTTGAGTTGTTCTCAAATGGTGACATAGTCACTGGAAGTTGCGACGGAGCTGTCAGAATATTCTCATCTAACCCTGAACGATATGCGAATGTGGAGACACTGCAAGCATTTGAAAAAGAAGTAGCAAATACCTCTATAAATGCACAACAGGTACTCGGAGACATCAATATAAAAGAGTAAGTATAGGATTTTTACTGTTTTGTACAATTAATTTATACTCACAATGTATTATTTGTTATAATTTGTTTTAATTGGTCTTAATTGCTTTTAGTTTACCAGATTCAAGAGTCCTCCTACAGCCTGGCCAAAAAGACGGACAAACAAAGATCGTAAATGAAGGAGATGCAGTTAGAGCGTATAGTTGGTCGCAAAATGAAAAACGGTGGATAAAAATTGGCGATGTGATGGGTGCGTCTGGTGGTACCGCTGCTACCTCTGGAAAGCAACTCTATAATGGCATAGAATATGATTATGTCTTTTCGGTCGACATACAAGACGGTGTGCCACCTTTGAAACTTCCATACAATAAGGGCCAAGATCCTTGGCACGTTGCACAGAAGTTCCTTCATGACAATAATCTAAGTCAATTATTTTTAGATCAGGTATATATTTTTAAATTAAAAAAAAATTGTTGAACTTTAAAAAATAATTCAAAAATTGTAAGAATGTGATGAAGTTCTCTGTATATTTTGTTCTAGGTTGCAAATTTCATAGTAAAGAATTCTGAGTCAACTCCAGTTTTGACTACTGGATCTCAATATGTAGATCCTTTTACAGGAGGAAGCAGGTATGTTCCTGGATCAGGAACATCGTCCAGTATGCCCGACGTTATTGTACAATCATCAACATTAAATTCTTCCAACACATCTACATCTTCCTCTTATATACCTCATTCGAGGTATTTAAAATTAGAACAGGCAAATTTGTCTATCATTTTCGGTAATTAAGTCTTGTCTAAGATAATTAAGTATCACAAGGATGTAATACAAGTTTGTATTATTTCTTTTTAATATTGCAGAAAAATTATACGAATTAAACACTAAACAAGAAAGTATACATAAAGTATCAGAGGAACATCTAGATGCTATAGGAAAGCTTACAGACGATCAAATATCTGAGGAAATTAGGACTAGCGCTATCAACGCGTTAAAAAGTCTTTTAGATTGGCCGAACGATACAGTATTTCCGGCTCTCGATATAGCGAGGCTCACTGTACTCCACAAAGCAGTAAACGACCAATTATGTACAGAAGAATTGCTGCCAGTTATACGGAGGCATATCAAATCTAACGCTACTCCGTCGAATCAAATGCTCACTTTTCGACTGATAGCTAATATGTTCCAACATGAAAAAGGAGAGAAACTTGGTCTCGATTACAGGGATGAGATTCTAAAGTCTCTATTAGATTTGCAATCTCTTGGAAATAAAAACAATCAGGTATATTATCAAGTAATTAAAATATTCGTCCAAAACAAAGTAGTGGCTTAGACGAGCCTAAAATGATTGAAATAATTATTTCTTGATTTATCTGCATTTTAAATAATGTTCATGATGGTAAAATAAGATTTTTTTTTTTCAGGTTGCGATATCGACTTATATGTTGAATTTGATCGTAGCGCTAAATAAGTATGACGATACACCTGGTAGAACAAGAGCTCTAAATACATTGTTTACCGTATTACCCCGTTTAAATGAACCAGAAGCAATATTCAGAGCTCTAGTTGGATTGGGAACGTTATTGGCCGCTACACCTGATCCTAGTGATCGTAATGAATTAATTAACGCTGTGCGAGAATCCGAAACCGCTTTAAACGTTTTAAGAACTTTGTCGGAAAGCACGACCGATCTTAGTATGTCAAACAAAGTGGTAAACTGTTCCAAGCAGATCATTGATTTGATTATTTAATTCGTTTATGAGTGATACACTGTGTAACAAACTATCATAAAAGAGAACTATTTGTAAGGATAAAGATGGAAATATAACCAACGAATGTGATTATCATATAAAAAATAAAAAAGATTTTGAATGCACTAATACAATTTCAGAAAACGTGATTAGCGTATGTATGCATATTTTCCAGTTTGGTTGCTCAAAATCTTAAAATATATTATAAATAAAAATGCATTTTTTAATGCAATTTACAGCAATCATTCAAATGCATTATGCTCTTGCATATAATGATAAGATAAACCCAAGACTTAAAAAAATATTAATAGATTTATAACAATTAGTAGTTTATTGTGACAATTGCTATTTTACTTTTACAAAAAATGCAAAGATTTTTAAGCGCAATATTAAGATTTTTAAGATTATATTTACAAGATTAAATTATAAATACAAAGTGTGTGTGTGTGTGTCTCTGAAGGAATTATTTATTTTACAAAATAAATTAAACTGCAAAAAAGAATGCTCTAATGTCACGAATATGGAAAATACGTATATTAACTTGCTGCTAAAATTTATCGAATGAGAAAAAAAACTCGCCAAAAGTGAATATATGACTAAATTAAAAACTTTTTCTTTATGAGCCTTTTCTTTTTGCAGAGGCAACAATTGCAGAAATCATGAGAAGATAATTCGTGAAAGACTTGAATATATGTATGTTCTGAGAAGCTAATCGGTTTAAGATTAAAATATTTTTCGAGATACTGCTGGCGCGTGTACATACAGAATTAATAATTTAAGTTTTGAGTTATTTTTTTCAGACATTTTTAATGAAATTATTTATATGGTCTTTAATTTATATGGTGTGTATACATATAATGTCATTCGAATGTTTTTTTTTTGCAATTTATTTTATTTCACATAATGGACAGAGTAAATCGCGTTACTTTAGAGACACCTTGTACAATCTTTGATGAAGCAATGTCCTATTTACAACCAATATTTTTAACAAACACAACGTGTTTAAATTAATTTTTTTAATTTTTTTTTGTATTCAATATTCTATTATGTTCTAAAGATTACATCAAATGGAAAAAGATCGGTTTTGTTCATCTCTTATGTATTCAGATAAAGCGTGTTATTCCGTAATCACGTTTTAATGAGAGTTTCTATAAAACAAATAACTGAGAAATTTAGAACTTATATATTGGATTTCGTCAAGTTCATTTCATTCAATCGACATGCATACTAATGTTGATTCTGAAATCGAGATTGTAAGTTCTAAATCATGGGCGCGATGTGACACAGAAAGTTGAAAAGTTACAGGAAACACGACCCCCGTCGATTTAGCATAGCTTGATGTATTTCTGCATAGTCATTTCCATTGTTATGCTGATTACGTCTTTGATGCTTCATTTCTTGCATTATTTTGTGAAATAAATATCCATTAGATGTTAGACGTGTGCTACGCTTTAGGCATCATTCTGTAATCATGTATGAAGTAAATCATAGTGATCGTAAAAGTTATTCTGAAATTTTATTATGTTTATATACAAGCTCTTTTAATTAATTTTAACAAGATAGAAAATTAATAAAATAATGTATAAACTTGCAAACTCGCTCTTTTATTCGTACTCTAATACTTCTTCAAATTCTTATCTCGCATCAATTGAGGTGACAAGTAAAAACTGTGATGAAAGCATCGTTGTTTTCCGAAGGATTTTGTATACGACACTTTTAATAGCATCTTTAAATTTAATTAAACGTTGCTTAATTTCTTTAATACGATATTTGATACAACCCACATCAACAATATTCGTTCAGAATCTTTGCAACATGAATAACAAGATACATAAAAGTTTCTGAGCCAATTTAAGAAATACTGCAATAAAAAAAATGAATCTTTAGAAAATGAGCGTACGTAAGTGCTATGAATAACTTAGTGGCGTTTAGTTCTAAGTGGCATTTAGTCTTAGAAATCACATAAATGGAAGCCACTAGAAGCACGTGAAGGTCAACAGGTTAAAATGCTTTCTATAATTATGCCATATTTTACGTAAATAAAAAAACATACAATTCTAAAATTGTATCCGGGGCATTCAATAATGCTGATCGTTTTTTTCGCATATCTCTGCATATCTAATATTTTATTTACCCATTTTTTCTCACAATTTAAACAATACATTGGCATAAACTTATTACAAATAAAAAATTAAGTACAAATAAAAATATTACATATCCACAATATTGGTCAAATTTATATATTTTATTCCTTAATAAATGCAATTTGTAGCAATTATATAGAAGTAAGAATTAACGTAACAATTATTATATTTACGTAATGTAAAAGAACGTTAATATAATATTTTAAATCAATACATGAGGAATTATACAGCGTGTGTCAAAAGTTCCGGGACGGCTGGATAATTTGAAAAATACGCATCACAGAGGAAAATGACCTCGATAAAAGTTGTAGGATTTTTCTCGGGCAATCCGATGGTGACCTTAGATTTGGCCTTACCCGTGACCTTCAAGGTCATTTCAAGGTCAAATCGAATTTTTTAAATAGAAACCCCTATTTTTGATTCCAAAATCTAATAGCTGGTGTCAAGAGCTTTTCAAAACACTATAATGAAGTTATTTTTTATTAAGTACTTTTCGAGTTATGAGGCTTGAAAGTTACAACATTTTGACATAAAATACAAAATATCTTGTAAAACATTCAATTTTCGGAAATCTTACCTTAATACTTTTATGCACAAAATAATGAGACGAATCAATTGGTATAAAGAAAACACATTGGTTTTAAAAAAAAGTATGCAGTTGCATGTTGCAAATTACATATTTTTTCTTGAAAGCAACTATGTGTT